AGCTCGCGACGGTCGCCGGCGAGGTCGAGGTCGACGTGCCCGTGGCCGAGCCGGCGCACGCGCCCAAGATCCACGCGATCGTCGGCTTCGTCGTCAAGGCCTACACGGCCGAGGGCGCCCACGGCACCGACGAGCCGCTGACCGCGGCGCGCTGCCGCGCGCTCCTGTCCCGCTTCGAGGTCTGCTGCTCGGCCCGCGCGTTCGACCACGTCTGGGCCAACGCGCCGCGGAGCGACGGCGGCGACGTCGGCCTCGCCGAGTTCCTCCAGCTCCTCGAATCCATCGACCGCCGCCTCGAGCACGCGACCTACGCCGTCATCGGCTCCCGCTACGCAGTCCGCGAGCACTTCATGGCCCTCGACCGGTCCCTCCGCCTCGACGTCGTCGGCCGAGCGCTCTTCCCCGTCGTCGTCGCCGTCAAGATCCTCCTCTTCTACGTCTTCTTCCCCCGATACGAGAACTCCGGGTAAAAGCGCGACGGACGGTCGCTGCCGCGCGCCTCCTCGAACTCCCGGCTGGAACTTGAAGTTCAAGTTTCCTTCACTTCACACCCCAGTCATGCGGCGACGATGACCGCATGCCTATGAAGCGCTGACTCGTGCGCTGTCTCGTGCGTACATATTGCAATGGCGAAAGCCTTCAGCGCCGTAAAAAGCGATGCCGACGACGCGGCGCTCAAAAGCGACGACGACGACATCGCGCCCTTCGACGCCGCCGGCTGGTTGTCCCGGCTCACCTTCCGCTTCGCGCTGCCGCTCTTTCGCGTGGGCTTCGAGCGGCCGCTCGTCGAGGGCGACCTGCCGCGGCTCGCGGAGCGCGACCGGCTGCCCCGGCAGGCGCGGCGCATCGGCGACGCCTGGGCGCGCGAGCGGCGCGGCGCGTCGCCGAGCCTCGCGCGCGCGCTGGCCCGCGCGTTCCGCCGCGACCTCGTCGTGTCCGGGCTCCTCTTCCTCGTCGACTTCGGCGCGGTGGTGACGCAGGCGGCGTTGTTGAGACCGTTCGTCAACTGGCTCGCGCGCGGCGGCGGCGCGGCCGCGGGCGCGGCCTGGGGCGGGGCCGTCGTCGCCGCCGCGCTGGCGAACATGCTGGCGCACCACTGGTGTTTCTATATGCTCATGCGCCTCGGCTGGAACGCGCGGCTGGGCCTCACGGTCGTGCTCCACGACAAGCTGCTGCGCACGCGGACGTCGGAGGTGAGCGCCGCGACGACGGGGCGGCTCGTGTCGCTCGTGACGACGGACGCGCAGCGCTTCGACAACCTCGGGCCGTTCGTCCACTGCCTCTGGGCGTCGCCCGTGCTCCTCGCGTATTGCCTGGCGCTCCTCGCGGACGTCGTCGGCTGGGCGGCGGCGGCGGCGGGCTGCGGCGTGCTCGTCGCGTCCGTGGGCCTGCAGGCGAAGCTCGGCTTCGTCTTCAAGCGGCTCCGCGCCCGGACGGCGGCGCGGACCGACGCGCGCGTCCGCACGATCTCCGAGGCGCTCACGGGTATTTTAGCGGTCAAGGCCTTCGCGTGGGAGGGCAGCTTCCTCGAGCGCGTCCTGGCCGCGCGCGAAAAGGAGGCGGCGTCCATCCTCTCGGCGCAGCACTGCCGCGCGGTGACGTCGGGCCTCTACTTCTGCACGGTGAGCGTGAGCGCGTTCGCGACGTTCTCGACCTTCTTCTACGCGCGCCGCGGCGACGCGCTGAACGTCGGCGACGTCTGCGCGGTCATCGGGCTCCTGAACTCGCTCCGCCAGGTCATCTCCTTCGGGTGCGCCTCCTTCATGATGGCCGCGCCCGAGTGCCTCGTGGCGACGCGGCGCATGCAGGCCTTTCTCGAGTCGCTCGACGTGCCGCCGCGGCCCGCCGTCGCCGCGGCGGACGGGTCCCTGGAGCTCGACGGCTGCGCCTTCGCGCGGCCCGGGAGCGAGCCCGCGGTCCGCGGCGCGACGTGCTCCGTGGCGCCGGGCGACGTCGTCGGCGTCGGCGGCGCCATCGGCAGCGGGAAGAGCACGTTGCTGGCCGGCGTCCTGGGCGAGCTCGCGCCGGCGGCGGGGACCGCGGTGGCCGCGAAAAGGGTCGCCTACGCGCCGCAGACGGCGTGGATCGTCGCGGGCACGCTCCTGGAGAACGTGACGCAGACGGGGCCGGCCGAGGCCTACGACGCGGCCGCGTTCGCGCGGGCGTGCGACGCCTGCGCGCTCGGGCCGGACCTCGACGGGCTGCCCGGCCGCGAGCGCGCGATCCTCGGGGAGCGGGGCGTCCTCCTGAGCGGCGGGCAGAAGGCGCGCGTCGCGCTCGCGCGATGCGTCTACGCGGCGCTCGTCGCCGACGGGCCGACGCTCTGCCTGCTCGACGACCCGCTCGC